CAGGCACTGTTCTAAGTATGTTACATATATTAGATGATACACTTTAAAAAAAAAACTACTCTCCAGTGTAGATATTATTAAGCCCATTTTAAAGAGGAGAAGAACATAACTCAAACCTAGGTGATCTGGTCTTGGAGTGTTGTGCCAAGCCTGCACTATACAGTTGACCCTCAAACAACACAGGTTTGAACTGCATACGTCCACTTATATGTGGATTTTTTTCGATAAATGTGGTACTATAAATGTATTTTCTCTCTCTTATGACTTTTTAAATAATGCTTTCTTTTCTCTATTAAAAGATTACAGTACATGATAGATATAACATACAAGATATGCGTTAATCAACTGTTTATATGATCAGTAAGTCTTTGGTCAACAGTAGTCAGTTCATAGCTAAGTTTCTGGGAAGTCCAGATTTATCTGTGGATTTTCAACTGTACAAGGGGCTGGCACCCCAATCCCTGCATTGTTCAAGGGCCAACTGCACTATCTTTCCATGCTAAGAGCTAAGAAAACTCTGTGCTTCTTGGACTTCGCATTTTTTAAAACTCAGCTTGAGATATAATTTATATACAATAAAATTCACCAATTTTAAGTATGCAAATGATTGATTTTGACAAATGTATATAGTTAGGTAACCATTACCACAAAATATATAGATTCCATTTCTATTACTCTAAACTCTTGCAGCCTTGGGGCATTGTATGGGGATGGGGCAAAACTTATGCTGAATGAAGTTTCCTTGACACTTTTACTTCACCACTGACTGTGAGATTTAGTGAACTCATTCATGTATTGGAGAAACAAATCTCTGTGGTATTACTGTTGACTGATTTAAATTTCCAACTTATATAAAAAGCATGGGTGTTCCCACTTGTATTAGTGCTCAGATATGCTGTGACTTAGAAGTTAAGTAGATCTGGCTCTGAAAATTGCCACTGATGGTAGAAGCCTGAAAAGAACTTAACATCTTAGTTCCTAGGTTCTTACTCTATAAAGTGGGAATAAAATTTACTTCCTTTAAAGTGCTCAGTGTAATGCTTGGAACATATTAGACCCTCAAAAAATTACAGCTCCAACAGAATATAATCTGTATCTTATAACATACTGCATCACAGGTAAAACGAATGAGCCAAAGAAAAATCTAGATGATATAATGTTGGGAGAAAACTCAAGCTGCAGAAAAATACCTATAACATGATACCATGTAAATATTAAACACAATATTGCATGTTTTACAGAAGCATATATATGTGTATAAATATATGTTTTATATATATCTTAATATAGTTTATAAAAATGCACGCACATATACATATATAATGAAAGTATAAAAATATGGATGAAAAGGATAACTTCAAAGAGTGATTTACCTATGGGAGAGAAGTAAATAAATAGAGTCAGTAAGGGAGTAAAAGAGAGGGCCTTAATTCTTTCAGGCTTTATTTCTTAATAAGAGAAACAGATATGAGGTAAATATGGCTTCTAACATTCATTGTATCCTAGAAAGTAGATACAACATTTATTACATCATTGGTGTTACTTACAGTTTTCTTTGTTTGTTTGAAATATTTCCTAATAAAAAAAAAGTAATTTTTGAATGAGGGAAGGGAGAAAAATCCTCCGTAATATGGGTGGGCCTCATCCAATCAGTTGAAGACATCAAAAGAGCAAAGACCTTCCCTGAGGAAGAAGGGATTCTGCCAGTGGACTTTGGACTTAAGCTGCCAGTCTTCCCTGAGTCTCCAGCCTGTTAGTCTACCCAGCAGATTTGGGGGGCCCATCAAGCCTCCAATCAGGTGAGCCAGCTCCTTAAGACGTTGGCCATAGAGGGATCTTCAGGAAGAACAACTGCAAAGGCCCTAAGAAAGGGGTGAGTGTGGTGTGTTAGGGACAGACGGGAAACATGTGGTGGAAAGTCATGATCAAGGCAGGGTTCTGTGAGGAACATGGTTTGAGATGGAGCTGGAGTGATATTCAGATCAAGCGTGAAAGTTGAGACCCCATGGCCTCTGTGGGAAAAGCTAGAAGAGCAGGAGCAGAAGTGGGGAGACTACATATCTACATGTGCTTGAGATCATCAAAAGATGCTCACAAAGTAGAGTTCAGTACTGCATTTCCGGATCTCTCTTGCACTTGGGATTTTCCAAATTCTTACATCTAGGAGATCAGAGGCAATACCCTACTTTACTGCCATGGCCAGATATCTGCCTCATCATGACGCTGAGTGGGAAAGGAAACCTGAGACAAAGATGTGGGGCCTCTGCTCCTCTTTGCCATAGCACTGAGTATTAGTGCTTCCTGGGGTCTTGTCCTTGGTCTTCTCTTACCTTTCTTCTCAATTCACTCCTGGAAAATGTCATCTCCCCTCCCCTGCTTTTCATTGTGTGCTGAGGACTCCGATCCATTATCGTTAGTGCTGATCTGTCAATCCAATTACCAAATGGATGTTTTCACATGACTGCCCCAAAGACATTTCAAGCTCATCATATCCCAAATAAATTCATTTTCACCCCTCTTTTTAATTCTGGTAATCTCCGGATCCTCCTGTATTCCTTCTCCCAACTGAGAGCATGAGTTTCCAAGCAGCTCCACAAGCCAGAGATCCACTGGTCTTCATTTCCCTGCCCTCTCCTACCCACTTCCATCCTGTCTAAAGCTAACAAAAAGGAAAGGGTGGAAGTGTGAACTTCTATGGGGAAAAATTAGCTGACCAAAACAGTAATATAAGAAAGGCAATTCATGGAGTGTATGATAACAAAAGGATGATGGTAAACCAATACAGGAGAGCTACCATCCCATTATTTCAAACAGGGCTCATGATCAATAAACAATTATATTTTAAAAGTATAAGATATGATCCACCTTCTCTTTATCATAGAAATATGAATTTTTTTTCTTCTTAAAACAGAAGAAAATAGCTTACATTGAGGACATGACTGTGTATTATTTCATTATATTTTATCATATTATTTATTTTGCTTATGACTATGATAAATATCTATATAAGTGAAATTAAATGCATAACAATAGCAACTAATAAGTTATTTATACAAAACTCAAAACCTTTTTTTTTTTAACCAAAGCTCCAACTGGATTTTTAGTCCCACTTTATCTTCCTAGCTTTTAGCAACTGTTTCAAGTGGAATTGCCTGTTAAAGTACTACGATTTTTAAACATTAACCAACACTTTCAATTTCTTATTTCCTATTATTAAAATGAACTACCACCCTTGTAATCAGGAATGACACCATCTGCCCAATGACACAGAAACTATAAAGTACTGATTTCGTCAGTGCTTATCTTAAAAAGAAAAAAAAAAGGCAACATGAAACATTCATCTTTTGATACTGATGTCACTATTTCTTCCAGTATCTTCTGAACAGAATGGAAAGGAAGTAGGCTTATGACCCAGTCCTAAGAGGGAGAGGAGCTCCTCAGGGAATGGACAATTACTAAAGCCTGAATCACCAAAGAATATGTATTTTCCAAGGAAAGCTAGATGGTTCCATAATGGTCTGACTGTGAAAGCAGCCCTTTAGCAGAGGCCTACAAAAAATTATTTTTTTATTTATTTATATTTTTTATTTTTAAAAATTTTTTAAAAGATTTTATTTATTTGATAGCGATCACAAGTAGGCAGAGAGGCAGGCAGAGAGAGAGGGAGAAGCAGACTCCCTGCTGAGCAGAGAGCCCGATGTGGGGCTTGATCCCAGGACCCTGGGATCATGAGCCAAGCCGAAGGCAGAGGCTTTAACCCACTGAGCCACCCAGGCACCCCTAATTTTTTTCTTTTTAGAAGTTCACCATGTTATTTGTTTGGGACCCTATTTTTGTGGATATATGTGTGTGTGACAGGTTACTAATTAAAAGAGAGAAGCCTTCGGGGCACCTGGGTGGCTCAGTTGGTTAAGCATCTGCCTTCAGCTCCGGTCATGATCCCAGGGCCCTGGGATTCAGACTGGCTTTGAGCCTTGCACTGAGCCTTGCACTGGGCTCCCTGCTCAGCAGGGAGTCTGCTCCTCCCTCTGCCCCTCCCCCCTGCTCGTGCTCGTGCACGCTCGCTCTCTCTCTCTTAAATGAAATCTTTAAAAAATTTTTAAAAATAAAAGACTTCAACATGATTCAAACCGAGGTTTTGTCCTTTAGGACAAGCGTGCTCTGTGAGAGAACCTTATTTTTTTAAGCACTTCTGTTGTACATAGAGCCAATTAATCCAGGTCCACCACTGACCCTAAAGAAGCCAACTGAGGCAAGAAACCACTTCTTTTCCTGAAGTCCAAGAAACTGAGAGGACAGTGAAATATGGGCTGGCTAGACAGAAGGCTTGAATTAATTAAGTTTCTAGGGTCAAGAAATGATTTATTAGGTAATATCTGCTTTGGTCTAATAAACCCACCTGGCAGCTTCAACTACTTAATGGAAACACAGATCAAAGTAACAGAATTTTCAGGTTAAAGATCATAAAGTTCAACTCCTTCATTAAATAGGTGAGGAAAATGAGGCTCAGATAACTTGACTTGTTACAGAGAAAGATGGTTTGCTCAGTCACTCAGCTGTTAATGGAGAGCTGACCATCTGACTGCTACACCAGTGCCCTGCCCACCACACCCAAGGGCATACTGGACTCTCCCCACTGTGCACGGTGGATGAAAGGCATTGCCATTTGAAGGAAATCACAATCGAGTGCCCTGGGGTAGGCGAGCAGGAGCCATCGCTTTCCCCACCCACCCAGCGGTGTTTTATTTGTGGTGACAAATGAACGCGCACAGCACCTGCAGAGACCCCAACTGCTGACTGTTTTCTAAATCTGTCATGAGCTTGCAGCTCTCCGAGAAACCTTTGAAAAACTGCTGTGTGAAAATAATTTCAAAGACTCTTCTTGGACAGCACAAATAAAAGGAAGCCTTTATTCTTTCTGCCCTCCTGGTGGATTAACAGATGAACACAGCCTCATCTGTCGTCCGATGAGGCTTCGTCGAGGGCAGCTGTGTACTCACCGTGGAACCAGGGAGCTATGGTGTCTGAGGTTGTCTGGTAGCCTGCTCGCAGTGGTAGCTGCTCCTCTTTAAACCACCGAATGATGTCCTCCTGGGCAGAGTTGGACGCTGTCCTCGTCACTCCCTGGTTTCTGAGATTTAGAGAATAGTTCTTCAAGTTAGATTTAACTAACTTGAAAACAATGCCTTCGAAAATCATATATATCCTGTATATATAAATCATGTATAAAGGCAGAGAGAATTATATATATTTGGAGATCTAATTACATGGGCTGAGCTAATGGGAAGTTGGACCCCTAATTACTGCCATTATATACCTAACTCCTCAAGGGTTAGTCAAAAAAATAGGAAGGAACATAAATCTGTCACTTGTCCTTCCAGTCCTATAGGGCTAGTCATGGATATGAGCTACTGCTGTGTTAATACAAAGATTTAATTCATTTTTAATGAACAAAAGCTCCATTAACTTCCAATTAAAATTTGAGAAAATAAGCATTAAAAAGTGAAATACACCCCCAACACTATTTTACTTGGGTGCATGTTTTTGCAAACAAAACAAATGCAATAAAAAAAAAAATCTCTTTCCTAACATTTTCAGTATTAAATTTTCTCTTCTTTTTGTTTCCAACATCCCTGACTTGCTTTCTTCTCTCCCATACTTTGAAGAGGTTTGGTTCTGCTAAAGACAGTCTCAGAAATATGAAGTCAAAGAAAGAAGAGTGTTTGAAGATTGAAAAGAAAAAGATACAAGCAGTAGAATCATTTTGAAATACATTCAGTCACAGAACTAAAGTTCTGGGATGTAAGTTGATTTCCACTACAAAAAGTAACACGGCAATGTAATAAACATATTTCCAAGTCTCACACAATAACCCACTAATTTTGAGCAGAACTCAGTGTAAAGACAAGGATGAGTTTGGATGAACTGCCAGGACGCCTGTCATGTAAATTAACTTATGACCCTGTGTTCTATGGTAACACGTCCCCACGAGTTACATGTGACATGTATGCCAGATGTACACGTAAGTATGTACGTATTCATGTGCATGCATACATAGAATTTTGGAGAAGATTGACTATAATATTTGACTTTCTTGGGAATCAGATCCTACACACACACGAGATTCTATGACGAGTGCTCTTACTAGCTTTCAAATTAGGTTCTTTTTCTTTGGAAAGTCTTTGGAGGTTAAGCAAAAACTCTAAGGACAGCCAATCTCTGTCTTTTCTTGGGCTGGCTCCTAGCTGACCTTGGTCATACATTGTTGTCCCAGCCCAAAAACCATCCAGTCTGGTTGCCTCACAAGAAGCATTTCATGCAAGTGTGTTAAGTTGGAAAAACTTAGCTCAACTGAGCACAGCTCGAAACAAGAATTGCCCTTATCAAGGCCACCTCCATGTCAATCACATACACTGTGCACTAAAAATAGTGTGGGACAGGGCATGTTACACGTCACAGTCACCCCCTTGGAAGAGCCTGGAGAACAGGGGCAGGTGCACAAACAGCCCTGCTGGGGATCTGGGGCCAATGCACAGACCAGCTCAGGCACTGAAGAGGACCCTGGGCAGGAGCTCACACCTTTGTGACGTGTTCACAAAACTGCGAGGATACCTGTTTCTGATTACTTTTCTTAGGTTTTTGTCCGTAAGAAAAAAAATCATTCCCCAAACTGTCACTTTATAGAGCATGATCTTTTAGTTCTGGCCCCCACATCCCAAAATGGAACCTTTCAGTTGAGTAAGTAGAAATAATTATAGTAAAGGAAAAGGTCCACCTTCTGTTTCCTCTGAGGTCATAATCCCCATTAGGAAAGGCCTTGAAGATCAGTACTGACTCCAAGCAAAGAAAGATTGGTTTGGGGCACCTGGGTGGCTCAGTGGGTTAAGCCGCTGCCTTCGGCTCAGGTTATGATCTCGGGGTCCTGGGATCGAGTCCTGCATCGGGCTCTCTGCTCAGCAGGGAGCCTGCTTCTCTCTCTCTCTCTGCCTGCCTCTCTGTCTACTTGTGATCTCTCTCTGTCAAATGAATAAATAAAAAATCTTTAAAAAAAAAAAAAGAAAGATTGGTTTGCTTTCTATTTCTCTGTACTTGTAACAGAGAAGTATTGGTTTTCATTTCAGAAGGCAAGGCTTCTGTTTCGTTTAATGACTATTTGATTCTTCTGGTATATTTTACATAATGTCTTTCTACATATTAGAATATGAAAAAAATCCCAATATCCAGGAGAAAATAATTTTATGAACAGTTAACTAACATAAGGGAAAGGGGGTTTCTGCTACGATACCATCATATTTCTCTTCAGGGAGTTTACAAAAACTGTTCTACCTAAGTTCCTATAGCTGACAAGGCAAAGGCACCATCATGACCAAAAAAGTGTTCATTCAAAGAAGGAACAGTTCCAGACTCAACGTATGAACTTGGCTCTGTGTCCCAGAATGAGGATTACTGTCAAATCTTCAATCCTGAGCAATGAAAACTCAACTCTCTGATGCTGTCAAAGTCAGCAAGCCCTTAGGTTCCTCCTTTGATATCGTTTCCGACTAACAGCGATACTGAGCGCTGATGAGACCCCCCCTCTTTGCTCCTCCCCTCGCCGGCCTGCTTACCTCCACGAGGTGGGGTCGGGGTGGGGTGCGCTAGTGGCGCAGGAAGGCACTGAACTCGATGCACACCCTCTCTAAGTTACTGGGAATCTTATTATAACAAACTGTGGATATTTTATAGTTAAGAAGAGGATGAATCCAGACCAGGTGTCTCGGGAAGACAGGCTTAGAGGTGAGGCAGGAACTGAATTACACAAGCAGCCAGCCGCTCTTCCCCTCCCAACCGCCCTCACTCTATTTGTCTTTAATCAGCCAGTTTCAACCGTTATGCTTAAAGCCATCTGTGTGGCTTCTTACCCAAGAGGCTTTGGAGGGTATCCCGCCGGGTTTAGGAAGTGAGGCTTGGGTGGAAGGGGGGGTCTTTTTGGTTTCTGTAGAACTCCTGGGGGACTTTGTGGTCCCTCACCGCTTCCTTTTTCGGCCGCAAGCGATAACCTCTTATAGTCTTCCCGCGCTTGTTTAGCCAAAGAGCGTCTCTTCTCATCAGCGGCTTTGGATTTTCGCACTAGAAAAACAAGGGGGTTTGAGAAAGGCCCTGGTCAGCCCACAGAGATGGTGAGAGGAGTCAGCTGGTGATGAGCGCAGTCTCTCAGGAGATTCTGTCATCTTCTGATAATAACGAACAATCGGTATCAGCGCCTAGGACTCACAGAGCTCAGGCCTGCACATTCACAGCTGCCCAGCGCTCCCCGCAGAGTTCCTGCCTTTCTAAGTGGGTTTTAGGACATCCTAAGAGGGAGGAGGAGGAGGAGAAAGAGGAAGGAAGGAGACAGAAATGGAGAACCATGTGTTCGAGAATTTCCTGCATTTGGCAAGACTAAGTGATGAGTCGCAGCCTGAGTTCGAATTCCACCTGGCCGGGAGTCTCTGAATAAGAAGAGGTGTTATCATCCCTCCCGTGCTCAGCTCAGGACATCACTAGCAAAGATCAGGCTCTCAGGAGCTCCTCAGTGCAGCGGCTGGGGATGGGGCGAGAAGTCGACGAGGCTGGCCGCAGGTCACACTCAGAGCCTCCGGAGAGCTGAACCAAGTTGTGAATGGGCCTGCTAGACCAAAAACACAAAATGATTCTCTCCACAATCAGAGAATGTGCTGGTACACATAAAAAGTACCTCAAGGCCACCTTTTAATGTTGCTTTGTAAAATAGAGTGTTTTTTTGTTTTGTTTTGTTTTTGTTTTAGCAACACAGCAGTAAAGGGCTCTAATGCAGGATGCTAAGACTAATTTTCCTTGAGTGTGTTTGCACTTCAGGTGTTCTCCGTCAAGCCCCATTATATCTGACTTCAAAGAGAAGCCAAAAATGTTCCATTACACTAGAACGTTACTGTCACCGCACGGAAGTGACTGGGTCTTGCAAATATTTTCCCTTCACAAAACTGTCATGTTAATAGTGTTCATTGTTATGGAACTGAAGACCAGATTCTCTGCACCCTGCAAACACTGTCACTCCCATTCTCCTGCTTCTCCCTCAAGTGGCCTCAAGGGATAACCTGGCTTGTAAACCTCTTTCTGAGTCAGCTGGAAACCCTCATCCTGTTTCAAACCTGCATTTTCCCCTGGCCTTGCTGAGCACGCTTGGCTCTGGCTTAGCCTGCACTGACCTCTTCCTGAGAGGGTTTATCTCTGGCGCTGCTAACTCAAGAAGGAGTCAGGGTCAGGTCATAGGTATGGGAGGGTGCTGATATATCCAATCGGTTATTCCTGGGTTCTTCTATCAAAAAGTTAAGGTGAGTTCACTGTTGAAAATTTAGAAAAGTACAGAATAACAAGAAGAAGAATTCAAATAAAGCTCAAATCCCAACCCTCCAAATTAAAAAAAAAATGTTAACATGTTAATAACCTTCCAGTTTTTTTACTTCATATACTAAGGCATTTTAAAATAGGAATATTTTTCATACTATTTTATAATTTTTCTTCTTCCAGTGAAAAAAAGATATAAACACATCTCAATGTCATTAAACTCTCTTCTAAAACGTGTTTTTTCAGAGCTATCTACCATTCCATCAAACAGCTATATCACAACTGTGATGGTACAAAGATGAGTGGAGAACCTTTCTATTCTTCTGCTATTCAAGAAGTGACTCCTAAGCCTCTCAACAACCATTTTAAGTGCTTTTTTGATTGACTAAGAGTAGGAACTGGCCTGGAGAGTCTAAGGTGTTACGGAGGCCTTTGGGTACTCACGAGATGCCTGCCACTCTGAATCTTCTTTCCAGCTTTTATAAATCTGCTTGGCTTTCTCCTCATCTATTTGCTTTAGTTCTTCATCTTGTGTTTTCTTCACAGGCTCTTTCTTCTGTTAAAAAAAAAAAATACCCACACACAAAACCAGAAACAAACACTAGTGAGTAACTCTGGCAATTTTCTGCCAAGAGGAAGAAGAGGAGTGGGGAGGGGAGGAGTCAGGGGCACTGAAGAGCGGGTTTCTATGTAACTCCCTCTGGCCCCCAGGCTAGGGAATTTGTTGTTATGGGAAAAGCTTGGAGTGGGTGAGACCTGAAGCTAACTCTATCATGGCTTAGCTGTGCAACCACGTGGCCCGTTACCAAACCTCTCTTAGGCTGTCTTTGCTTAAGTAGAATTAGAAAACTACAAATATTTCATCGGGTTAGAGTCAGGGTTAACCCATATTTAAAAAGTGTCTCCCATAGTCTGTAACACATAGTAAAACTCAATAAATATCCATTTCCCTCAAACATCACTTAACTGTTTTAAATTGAAATCCCTCAAATAGTGTGTAAACACGGCTTCAAGGCACCAGTGTAAACACTGCAGTATCCGACAGGCTCCGTAAAAATAACAGCACATTTCTAGAGCAATCTCAGCCGTACCTCCATGTGCCCTCAAACCAGTGTCTAAAAATGTGGCACTGGGAGCACCTGGGTGGCTCAGTTGGTTAAGGGTCTACCTTTGGCTCATGTCATGATCCCGGGTCCTGGGATCGAGCCCCCACATCGGGCTCCACGCTAATCGGGGAGTCTGCTTCTCCCTCTGCCTTTGCCCCTCCCCACTGCTCATACTCCTGCTCTCTCTCTCTCAAATAAATAAAATCTTTAAAAGAATTATTTAAAAATGTGGTACTTACACATTTTAGGTGACCCAAAAAGGAATATTTTTTGTTTTTTTTGTTTTGTTTTGTTTTTTAAATTTTTACAAAGCATCCTCTTAGAGAAAATATAAAATAAGAAACACAAGTCTTCCTTAAAAAGGGAATTTGTTTTTCAAGTTGTAAATATACAGAACACGAAATTATCATTTTAACCTTTTTAAACATTGTGGAAGAATACACATAACATAAAAACCATGTTAGCCATTTTGAAGTGAACAGCTCTGTGGCATTAAGTACACTGAAGGGAATTAGCTTTTAACTAAAGAAAAACTCACACCAAATCACTTAGACCTAAAAAAGTACTTTATTTGGGTATTGCCTTCTGAGGCCTTACTAGAAAACTGAATTTAGTACTTGGTGAACCAAATAAAAGCCGCGGTCACCTATAATAACGAAGGAAGCTGAGAGAGTCAGAAAAGACTGACCATGCTTCGTTTTGCATCTCAGAATCGACAGGTATTTTTTTGTGTGTGTGTGTTTTCCTATAGAAAGATAAAGACATTCTGTTAAATTATCTCACCCCAACTAAAATATAAACCTTGATGTTGTGAAACCCATTTTTGATCACTGTGGGAAGTCATAAATCACAATTAATATAGGAGGTGATCATTCATTCACTCTTTCATTTCAGACGTAACTAAACTTTCATGTATTTATTATCTTCATTTTTTTTCTTACTTTCTTTTCCTGCCTAGAGCTAAGCCCCCTTTGTTTCCTCTTATTATAAAAAACAAACAAAAAACCCCACAAAAAACCCACCAGCTTTTGGTGTTTTAAATGACTGTTAAAATTTGTTATCACTTTACTGAAGCCATGTATAAACCTGAAATACATAAAAAGTACTGCTAGCAATTTCTAAACTTAAACAGAAAAAAAACCCTTGAAAGTGGAGCTTTGTTCATCTTCCACATGCATATTTTAAAATGATTTAAAATGATTAGAAAAGAGCTACAACATTAAACCATGATAGTGTATATGGTTGCTTAGGAAAAGCAAAAAGTTTACAAAGTAAGTCTACTTAAGGAGAAATATTCACTAATAATGCAGGTGGTATGTGGTTGATGACAATCAAATGTTGGGGAGTGCTGTAGCTAGTAAATCATATTTCTCTTTAACGTGTAGCATCACTATGTTTGGGGCACAGAGGGAAAGGAGACAAATTAACAAGTTTCACAGAGTAATGGATGAGATGAGCCCCGACCTCTCTATTCATTCCAAAGCAGCTAGAAAACTTAAGGACTTGTCCGGATTCTCTAAGAATTCCTTCAGAAAATTTACTTTTAGCAAAATCTTTACAGGTTGGTCTTTATGTCCTCTACTTAGGAAACCAAACCATTATTCCATTTTTAGAAGTTTTTGCAAGAAGCATGTAGGTCCAGGATGGGGATGGTGAGCCAAGCATGGGAAAGTCAGGTAGAGGCTGAGGGGTGAAGGGGCAACAGCGGTGAGGCTGGACACTGGTCCAAACACCCACAGGCTGAGGTTTATATACATGAGGATGGGCAGTTCAATGTCAAAATATCTCCCATGGAAAGCCTCTTATTATCCCAGCTTGTTAATGGAAATACTTACCACCAGTTTCCTCATTAGACCCTCTCCATTGCCTCCTAAGTCAAAAAGCTCTGTTTTACTATCTTTGTTCTCCAGAGAAGCTGGGTAAGTGATCTATCTGCTCACTCATTCTCTTGAGTTCCCATATAACTTCTTAAGTTAGAGAAGGAATGCATTGGCCCATGGCTTCGCGCATTCTCATGAGAGGGTTTGAAGACTGAAAATCTGGCTATCTCACATCTAAAAATGCTTGAGAACCTTCTAGTCTATCCTCCTTATTTTGCAGCCAAGAAAGCTTAGCTCTCTCTTTTCCATCTAGACTCACCCTCTGGATGGTCTCATCTTTCATCATGGCTTGATATAACACCAAGATATCAGATTCCTTACAAGGGTCTACATGTTTCTCAACCCTAATCTCCCTTCTCATTCACTGACCTTTCTGCTGTTGTTGACTATGTCAAGTGTGCTCTTGCCTTTGTGCCTTCATACTCGGTGTTGCCTCTGCCTGGGACATAATGTCGCCCGGTCTCCACATGGCTCCCTCCCTCATTACGTCAGGTCTCTCTTCCAGTAGTGCCTTCTCAGAGTAGCCTTCTCTGACCATCTCTATAAAAAGTCTGTCCCCACCCTCCCAGTATTCCTCAGCTTCCTTATCCTGCATTATTTTTCTCCACAGAACTTATGACTTCATAGATGTGTTTGTTGTCTGTCTCCCTCACCCAGAATATAAGCTTCCTGAGGGCAGGGATTTTATCTGTTTTGCTTATAGTGCTTTCAATGCCTATAACAGAGCCTAGCACACAGAGAAACTCCATGGACATTGGTTAAATAAATACAAAGATCCTTTGTTTTTCTATCATTTAAAATGAAACAGTGTAATCCAGGGAGTGTTACCGAAATTTTCCTTTAGATGCTCTATTGCTACTGTTTTAGAAAGGTACATATTATACCAACAAGATGCACACCGGGACTACACTGCAAAAATTCATCACAGTTTCTTGAAGGGTAAATGCGAGCTATCCCAGTTCACACATGTCCCTGCAGATTGCACTGTCCACTGGAACGAGGGCCTCCACTGTGGCCATGCCTCAGGCCTGTGGTCACACAGAACCTTATCTTTACAGCTTCACATCTTACATTACTTTTTCAAACTTTCTGCAGGTCAGATCTACTATGGTTTCCAACTGCCCATCTATGCTCCATTTTTTGTGAGGAATGTATGATGGGATACAGTCTAGCACAATGGAGGAAAGAGGCTCTGCCTGTAGGGAGAATCACATCTGGATGGGCGTGTGAGTGATATGAGTGCCCAAAGGAGCTCCTGGCACAGTGGGCATGGATGGTTCATTGAACAGGATCCAGCTCACAGAAACAAGGAACACATAAGGAACCTAATCTGAATTCATGATTTCTGCCAAGTTAAATGCTTCATTTATAGCTCCCTGAGATCAATCTTTCCTCAGTGTTTGCTGCAGCCCAGGATATTGTCTCTGCGTTAGATATTCCGTGAGGAGTTTAGCAGATATGTCTTGGCATCTATTCTTTCCACGATACTCAAGACTTTCCCAAGTCCGGATAAACAGGTAAAAATGAAGAGCTATGTTCACAAGCTTTTAAAGACAGATTTCACATCTGCCGCTTTCATTTCTGCATGAGACTAATATACCAATTTGTGAAACATTAGTGGCAATGGCTATGCATCTAGCCCCCTGAAGACAGAACGTTAAGTCTTTACCTGGTGAAATCCATATGCCTTCATACGATTGATAGAATCTGCCAACATTTGTTGAATATTTCTTGAGGAACTGGAGAGTGACTAAAAATTAAATGAAACACGTTTTTATACCATTTAGAACTACAATGCAATTTCAGCAGGTAATCTGTTTATGCTTCCCTTGTTTCAATGTCCCCTGCACCCCCATAGGTGGATGCACCAAAGCTTCCCACCAGCACCTGAGTTCCTGAGCCATTAATGACTGAGGCAGCAGGTGTGCAAAGCTTTAGCCTCCCCACTCAGTAGGGTATAGAAATGAATTATGGCTCAAGATCCTGGAGCTGGTGGTTTACTCATGACAAGTGAGTTTCTGTATTTTGTTCCCAGCTGGCCCCAGGGCCCCTGAATGGCTTCTAGACATCACCATTATTCCTTAATTTAAATTCTCTTCTTCTCTTAATCCCTGCTCTACCTCATCCCCTGTTTTTGGTTAGACCAGAAAAATGCTTAGTCTCTGCCATTTAACTGCATGTGCCTTGCTCTCTCTCTAGGTAGGAGCAGAAGCAGGAATGGAGTATCAGTTCCATGCCTGGGAGCCCTGCCCACTTTCCCTGCCTGATTGCATTCCCTTCCCACTTCTCCCACCCCTGTTACCCAGCCCAGTGTCTGGGTTTATGCCATTCCAGACAGATTTCCCAGGAGGCAACTCCTGCCAGTGGGGTTCCCGGATCCATTGCCTGGATTCCCTGGTGTCACTCCTGCCTGCCACATGTCAACTGCTCAGGCATCGTGACTGAGCTGGCATATCACACTGAGTGCCTCTTTAGACCAGGTCAGTTACACAGGCCCCTGTCACCGGGTCCCTGGCCTGAATGCAGAGTCTGGAACAAGTCCCAACATGAAAAGCCACACATCCTTTACAGCTTAATAGAGCCAACCTGCAGCCCATATTACCAGGATTTATGTGTCTTGTGCCTGAGGATTCACTCCTGAATTTTGATATTGATCAGAAATTGTCAGTAAATTTTCAGAAAAATGTTGGTACCAAAATTCAGTGTGGAGCACAGGGGATACTTTGGGGTCATCACTAAGCCATGTAATAAACCAGTGTGGCTACTCAATTTTGCCCCCTTCTTAACATTAGCTACACTGCATTTCCCAGCTGCCCTAGCAGTCAGGTGCGCCTGTGGGAATAAGCCATCTCCACTATAATGCAGGTGATAACTGGTATCTGCCACTTCTATTCTAGTCCTTAAAGTCTCCTTCCCACATGCCTCTAGGCCACTTCCCCCTTCCTATGCTTACTGCTAAAAACTGGAGAACCATCAAAAGCCTGAGTCCCTAACTGACTGGGCAGACCTGGGCCCTCCTGAATCAGAACCCATCCTGGATGTTTTAAGAGAGAAAGATGAAACTTCTGTTATGTTTTGACCATTGAATTTTGGTCTGTTTGTTACAAAAGTTTCATCTATGTCAGTTGATAAAACTGGCCATGGCAGTTGCTGGTGGCACTCTTCAAGACTTCTGCTGGGATTTTTTTTTACTAATCATGGGGAGTGTTATTTGGGCTAATTCCACTAGTGGCTAGTCATGGAAGGACCATTACGACCAGGCACGGGGACTTAGTCTTATTTTTATTACTCACAACACCTCTAATGGATGGGCAACACAATGCCCAATTATCAGAGGAAGAAATGGAGTCGCAGAGGAGTTGTGTATCTTGCTGGCATCACACAGCTGACTTGTGCCAGAGTTTATAGTTTTTCCACTATGTTGACACTGTAACGATAGGAAATAACTCTAGGTCAAAAGTTTCTTTATGCCTATTACTTGGCAAAAAATGAATCCTATAGGTTTCAAAATTACTACCTACCTACAATATTCTGTCTTATTTTTTTATTTTAATATTACAAAAGAATACATAACTTCTTTGCATCCAAAATAGCACAGTAACCAGTTCTTATTTATGAACAGGTTAGGACTGTTCCAGCAGGTTTTGTATATGTCTGCTCAAAAGTCCATGGCAATTTTGAAGGGTTTGGGCTTGCAGTCTCTAAATAAATGTCTACCATAAGGAATGTGAGTTTTAAAAACAGGCTCACTCTCCCTTTCTTCAATGCGGTAAGATCTGTGGGGCATCATTTTGCAAAAAGGATCAGTTTCTCTATGTTGAAAATTAGGAGGCAGGTAACCACCCTCCCTTGCCTCCTCATGCGCAGTAGATAAGGTTCCAGCTTCGGGATCTACACCCCTGGTCTCCCCACTGGTTTGTCACAGGACCTGGACCAATGCAGCCAGCACAGCTTTGGACCCAGGATTTGTCAGTGGCACCTCCACCATGCTCAGCCTTTAAGCTCTCCAACAAACTCTCAATTGTTTCCTGAATTAGCATCAGGCTAACAGGCATCTGACATGTCTCTTTTAATATATATTCTACTTTGTCAAATATTTTTCGCCCCATCACTTGCCAATTACTGTTACGGGTATAATACCCTTAAGCATACTGTGTGAGTTATTCTTTGTCCCTTAGAATTATTTGTTCAACTGAATGATTCATATTATATACACATACAACACTGTTTTTTCAACACTTGCTTTTTGCTTTATTATCTTAATTTTTTTCCATCATCCATCTATCACCAAAGGCAAACTACCCCAAGATGGACCACTTCGGCATGCACATTGTTTTTTAACTAAAAGCAATCAAAACACAGCACATTCAGGAAAATCTCTTTACCTCCCGACCTCAACTGCCTAAAAGAATTTAGATAAAGGACCTGCTCCAGGAAGAGAACTATGCTATAGATAACTACATTAGACTACGAGCCAGATATGGCAAGGCCTGTCTGATCAAAGTCCTCTATGTCCCATTCTTTCTGAGTGACCAGGCAAACATTTGTTCACCAAACATTTACTCCTCTTCATCTTCCTGTGAATTACATTCATTCCCTTTAAGTCCCAGGCCCTTAGCCTCTTTCTCCTTAGTTCAGGATGATATATATACCTCCTTTTGCTTGACTCTCTTTGGAATTTCCAGGTCTGTGTGGCGTTCCCATACAAATGAAATTAAATTTGATTTTCTCCTGTTAATCTGTCTCAGGTCAATCTGATTCTTAGTCTGGCCAGAAGGACCTTGAAAGGCAGAGGAAATTCTTCCTCCCTGACACCAGCATTTCGACACTCTCACTGCTTTTGCGCTTATCAGAAATGATGAGGTTATTCATATTCTTAAGATAATTCAAAACTAAGCACAGACACACGAACCAGACAATGGAACGTTTTGTGATGCTGGGGATTGAAGGGACGAGTGTGACCAGCAGCACCACCTGCTGGGGCCAGTCAGAGTTGCGGGCCTTTCTTTGTCGGGAGGTTTAGGTTGAGTCTTTAGTGTACCAAAGCTCAAAGTTGGTTCTTGAGTATAAGAGTCTGAGCATAAATAATTTTCATTACTTTAACAACCACCCAGTTAACAACGACACGATACTTCTACTGAAGTACTTCTATATGCCTAAAATATACTGTAAACTCCAAAATTATTCACATATACTAAGAACCACATGTATAAAAATTCTAATTTTTTTTTAAAGATTTTATTTATTTATTTGACAGAGAGAGATCACAAGTAGGCAGAGAGGCAGGCAAAGAGAGAGGAAGGGAAGCAGGCTTCCTGCCGAGCAGAGAGCCTGATGTGGGACTCGATCCCAGGACCCTGGGATCATGACCTGAGCCGAAGGCAGCGGCCTAACCCACTGAGCCACCCAGGCGCCCTAAAAATTCTAATTTTCAGTGTGAACCAAGATTTGCCACTATTCCAACGTGCTAAAATAATATGAAGAACTAATCAAGACTTGTGTACAGCACATTCGTTCAGATACACTTACATGTTCTACAAATCCATGGAATACAAGTTCAAGGTAATAGACTAAAAATAGTATGATCCAAAAGAGATTTCCTTTATTAAAAAACAAAACCAGATTACTGGCTCAAAGGTGATGATTAATGATGCTAACACCAGATGGACACAATCTGAGGAATACCGCTACCGCTCTGAGCATTCTCAGAGTGAAGATAAAGGGGCTTCTTAGAGAGGGAACCACCCCTCTGAAGCTTCCATATGATGCTGTGTTCCAGGGAATATACTCTTTAGTTATTCCTATTTGTAACACAAGAAAGAGATGAAAGCTACCACCTACCTGCATAATTTTTCTTTCAAAGCACTTTCAAGTCCAATACATCATTTGACCTTCATTATCAACCCCAAAAGGGTGTCAAAGCAGGTACTGTCTCTTTACCAAAGAGGTAAACTGACCTGTTACTAGGTAGGAAAGCAGAGACAGAAGCCCATGTCCTCTCGATGACTACAGCTTGCTCCTTCCATGGGGTGTCCCAGAAAGAACATATGTTTGTTCTCATGCATGCAAGGAAGCCTCTGCAGCCCCCTCCCATTTGCTGCATTAAAGATGTGTCTGCAGCTGCTGAAACTATGGGCAGAGTTAAAGCAATCTTCATATTTCCTTTATTTAAAAAAAAAACAAAACACTGCCACCGAATATTTATGCAAAACTCCACAAAATAAAGTGAAAACTTGAAAGCTAGTGACATCAGAAGCTAGACCGAGTCAGAATGGTCCTCTCTAGTCAGTGTAGGCCCGATTAGATCTGGGAGTGGAGCCCATCTGTACTGACCAAAGGGTGGCATGAATGTGTATGTATATGTATATCTTGACTACCATTAAACTTAAAAGCATGGGAATTCAAATCTAAATAATTTGAATTATAGCAATTGGATTATCAATTGCTATATTATCAAAAGATGCTATAGCAACATCAATATTACATGGTTACAAATTATACTTCCCCCAAAGATTATGTGTCTTATGAGGATTATTCTAATTATATTCACTTTTAAAATGTGATCTGAAAAATAGTTCATTCTGGTTTTTAACCTAACATTCACTCTGTTTTAAGTAGGGTTATGCAATTTATTAACTCCACATAAACCAGAAAGCTCCAATAAACAGAAAATTTTTAGCATTCAACTTTCATGGTGAAGATGAAAATGATGAGTTAACAGGCTAAAACCAAGAGTTTACTTTTGAAAAC